ACCTTTATGTGGACAAAGGGTATAGCATAGGCTTCGCTCCGAAGCTTTCTAAATTTGAGTGAAGCTCTTCTTCCTTTTTCGGTTGAATCTCAAAGCTATTGTAATACTCTTATGTTTCATTTGGGTGTTGGAGTAGAGCTGGTGTTTGACCAACAAGGAACAGGTTGTTGGGAAGGATTGGGGGTTTTAGCAGGGAGTCTATCTTTGAGTGTTGCTGATTATATTTTAGAGGAGTTCGTTGGGACGACGCCGACCGGTGCCGAGGCGCTGCCTTGTAACCTGATGAGCGAGGGTGTGAGGTCTGGGAAGTTTTCTTCTGGGGGAAGGCAACCAGCAACTTGGATGATTGGCCGTTGTCTGTATCTCTAGCATGAAGGAGGGCTTGAGAATCGAGAAGTGTTTTACGAGGGCAGAAAAGTGATAGTCAAGGGGGATTGTTTGTTAAAATAGTTGTTCCTTGTGAAGAACAGGGTATGAGGTAGCTCTATTCTAAACTTCAAAAATAAAAAGTGATTTCGGTAAAAAAGAATGTTTTAGGATTCTTGGGACTTTTAGCAACTCGCTTTAGACTGTTTGATACTGGTTGTTCAATGCCAGAACGACACTGGCCGGTGCTGGGGTGTTGCCCTGTAATCTCTTTATGTTTTTTTATTTTATTTTTTTTGTCTGTTCTTGTTTTGGTTCAAGGTTGGTGTGTGCAAAATTTTGTGTCATTTGGAGAATTGGAATTTCCTCTGTTAAGATTTCTGAAATTTCTCAAGATTTCTGAAATTGAGATGTTGGCGAAATTTCATGAAAATGCACTTTTGCCTTGCTGTTTTGTATGTTTTTTTATTTATTTTTTTTGGATTTTTTTTTGCAGTTAGTTAGTATGGTCTCCACTCTACGAATTGGTGGCAAGTTTGATTAAAATGACCCTTTGGTTTTCATATAAATGGCATGGCAAGTGGTCTGAAAATTACGGTCTCCGTTAACCTTCTCTCAAGGACAACCTAGGGTAACTGTTGGGACGACGCTGGCCGGAGCTGGGGCAAGTCGTGTTGCTCTGTAACCTAGCCAGGTGAGGGTGTGAGGCCTGGAAGATCTCGACAGGGAATAAGACAGTGTTGGACAGTGTTAGAGAGTCTGGTTTGGGAGTCTAGGGGTTCTCCGCATTCGAAAAAGAGGTCAGTAGGCATTCTTATTTTTTCAACCTCTTCTATAATTCTCTTGAAGTTTTTCAAATAGTTCTCAGACTGATTCTCAGCCGAAGCCGGGTAATGACCCCGGTATCTCAAAAAAAAAAAAGTCTTGAGAATGCCTTAGGTTTCTGGGCACTTCTTGCAACCGTTTTAAGGTTTCTTTAATGCTGTTATATTCATGGATCTGCGGTTTTTCGATGCCAGAACGACGCTAGCCGGAGCTGGGGGGTTGCCCTGTAACCTGTTGATAGCAGGAGTGTGAGGCCTGGTAGAGAGATCTGGGGATGCCTTGGGCCGGGCATTCCATGGGAAAACCAAGGGTTGCTGTCGGGACGACGCTGGCCGGAGCTGGGGTGAGATGTGTTGCCTTGTAACCTAGCAGGGTGGGGGCATGAGGCCTGGGAGAGCTCGGCAGGGAATAAGACAGTGTTAGAGAATTTTAGAATCTTTTGTTGGGGATTCCACGGGTTCTGAGCATTCAAAGGACTTTTGTGGCTTTCTGTTTTGACTTAGCAAGTGCTGCTTGAGTAGCCTAGCAATAGGTTAGCAGTTATCCTTGTTTTCGTAAATTTTCCTGAGCCTTTTCTCATAGTTCTCAGATTGTTCTCAGCCGAAGCCAGGTAATAGCCCTGGTATTTCTAATCCTTTGTATAATTCTATACGGGACGCTGGGCCCAGTTCCCAGCACATGTTGCTCCCCACGAATAGACTGGAGCGTTTGTCCCTTAAAAAAAAAAAAAGAAAAAAAAAAAAAAGAGATGCTGAGAGCGGACATGGGGGGGACTGGGGTTGTCCTCGGCAGCAGCAGGGTTGAGAGCGGCGCATTTCAGATCATCATCACCATGATGGCAGAGAGGCCGCAAGCGGACGTGGTAGGGATTGGGGATAACAACAACAACAACAACAACAACGATGAAAGCGGCAGCAACTACGATGGCAGCAGCGATTACCACGTCAGCAGCGGGACAGTGAGCATCAGCAGGAAGGGAGAGAGGTTGCATGCTGACGTGGAGGGGATTGGGGTTTACACGGATAAGAAGCTTACCATCTTACTCCCCTTCCCCTTCTTCAACCTCGTTGCCTGTCTGAGGATAGGAGTAGCATAGCTGATGTTGATTGGTGTTACCATCTTCCCCCCCCCCCTCAACCTCGTTGTCTGGATGTGGATTCGTGTAGGAAAATTGATGTTGATTGATGTTGCCCGGCCCGCAATATCAATCAACAATGGGGTGATGATTGCCCCGTGGGAGGGAGGTGGGCTGCTTTGGGAGTAGATTGCAGGTGGTCAACCCTTCCCTTGCGCAGGGACGTAATGAATGCCCCTGCTCTCCTTCGGATAATACATATAGCGACAATCTTTACATGATTTTGCAAAATGGAAGCTCGGCTCGCAGTTCACATCACACAAGAGTACAACATTCATGGAGTCTCTTGTTTACGCTTGACTGCTAAAGATCCCTTACATCACCTTTGTTAGGGTTACGGGTTTTTTGCATAAGCTGGACTCTACGTCCAGAACATACAGATTACATAATTGATAGTGATTCGTGCTTAAGTCTTGATTGATAAACATCATATACATCACATCATTTTTAGAGTTTCGTGTTTACATTTTGATAGATATTGAACACATACATCACGAACGTCATACATACATCACACCCTCGTTAGGGTTTCGCTTCATAGGGACACTGGACCCGGTTTCTAGCAGATACATTCACATCACTATACCGGGACACTGGACCCGATTTCCAGCAAATACATTCTCATCATTGTATAGGGACGCTGGTGTAGCTCCCCACCTATTGATGGGGCCTTCGACGCCGGGTCCTACTTACCGGGGATGCTCTTATCACCTCGTTAAGTAGGTTTCCCCTCTACGGAGTTTCAAAAAAAAAAACAAAAAAAAAAAAGTTTGCAATTGCACTTGGGGCACCCTACCTGGCCAGAAAGCTAGGTTGTCTACATTGCCTTTTTTAATTATTTATTATTATTATTATTATTATTATTATTTTTTTAAAACAACCCTCACCAGTGCTAGTGGTGCTGATAAGAGCAGACACCACTAGCACCAGGGGAGAGGCTCCATCTATTGGTGGGGAGCATCACCTGCTGGAAAGCGGGTCCAGCGTCCCTTATACAGACTGAATTGTCATGTATCTGATACACAGTTGTGGGAATTTCCTGCCAGTATTGATTGCCCCGAGATCCAGGGGATTGACTGAGCAGGATATAAGACAGAGTATTAGACAGGGGGGAAACCTCTTCGCCTGAAAGCCGGCGTCAGGTACTACTTTTTTTTTTTTTTTTTTTTTTTTTTAAGAATAGCCCTTGCGTAAGCCCACTATCCCGGCGGTGGTGAGGGAACCGTCAGGATTGAGGACTTATCTGTCGGGCTGCTCCATCTATTGGTGGGGAGCGGCACCTGCTGGAAACCGGGTCCAGCGTCCCTTTATACATCTTGGAATACAGAGTTTGCTGTTACTTTTCCTGGGCCATGACCAACTTACGCTATACACCCCGATACCCCATTTTCCCTCAGAGTTGCTAGTGTTACCCGTCCCATCATGGGGCTCTTATTTTCTTGTTGACCTCCTCCCCCTGAAATATGTTGAGTCTTTTACTGGCTGGAAAACGGGTCCAGCGTCCCATGTGTAGGATCTGCCAGATCCTACACATGGGACGCTGGACCGGTTTTCCAGCCAGTAAAAGACTCAACATATTTCAGGAAGGAGCCACTGGGGGGCACCAATGGGACCTCCTTTCATCTCCTGCCTCAGGCTTATTTTTAAGAGTGGGTTGTTAGACCAGAATTTCTATTATGAAGAGGGCATCATCTATTGTTAAGAGGGCATCTAGAAATGATGTATCCTACACACGTACAGCTTAGGCACCTCTATCACGTTCAGGCACACTCAGGCACCCTCTTGCATATCCTTGAAACATTCTCAGAGAAATGACTCAATCAAGGAAAGTGGATGTGGTGGGAAAGGATCCGGGAAGTCTGTTGGGGGGCGGAGGGGAAAGGAAGGGTCAATATTCAGCCAGTCGTTGAAGATGAGGCGGTAGTCTCTACATTCTACCAGCTCCTGCTGCTGCTGGTCAGCCCTTGTGTAAACCCTCTATCCCGGCGGTGGTAAGAGAACCGTCAGGATTGAGGGTTTCTCTGTCGGGCTGCTCCATCTATTGGTGGGGAGTGGCACCTGCTGGAAACCGGGTCCAGCCTCCCATTGATAATCTTATAACACAGAGATTGCTGTTTGTTATTTTCCTGGGGCTGTGCACTTCTCTCTTCTCAGACCCCGGTCTCTGTTGTCCCATGGAGCTGCTAGTGACACCCTTTCCCTCTTAGAGCCCCTTTATGTATTAGCCCAGCCCTGTTCAGCAGCCCCCCTGTGGTATGTCTGACCCATTTGAGTCGCTAAAACCCTATACCCTCTTCAACGCCATGCACATGACCTTCATGAACCTTGAAGCCTGAAGTGCAAACTGCATGGCTCACCTTCCAAGAGTGAGATTTGGCAGATAGATATGCTGTTGTAGCCTAAGTTACTTGCGTACCTGACAGCGTAAGGCGAATGACTGTGAACTCAAGTCTCAGGAGTCACCCTCAGTGTGCCACACCAGTGCTAGCGGTAGCGCCCTGAAGCCGGTCGACCGGTAAGGCCCAGTTGCCCTGGCTCGACCAGTGCTTGGGGAGACAGCAGCTCCCCGGCTGCTGGGCCTGCGCACGTGCCCGACAGGTGCAAGCGGTGCTTTGCCACGTGGCACCTGTTGTTTGGAGATGTGGATGTCCAGCGACACGTGTACAGGGGTAGTGCCAGCCGTGGATTGATTAGTGGTTCCGACGAACCGTGTGAGTGGCGCAGCTAATTGGGTGAGAGATGGATTCGATGGGGGAGCTACAACATAGAGCGGAGGAATGGATTTCCACGCTGGACGAGGGATGCAAGCAGCTGCGGAAGATAGTGAGGATGCTCATGCAGTGGTGGCAGGAGGGGGAGGAGGTCGATGGGGGTGCGATCTCTATGGAGCAGTGGTTAGCAGGCAGGATCCAGGAGATGCTAGACATCATGTCGGAGCTGGAGGAGGGCCCGGATCCCCGGCTTGACGCCTACATCGACTGGAGGAGGGCGAATGATAGGATGGGTGTTTGTAATGCCCTCTATACAACGGGCCGCAATCTACGCAACCAGCTAGAGGCTCGGCAGGGAATGCGAGAGATGGGCGATAAGAGCGACATGGATGACTGGGAGGAGGGAGGATTGGATGCCGGCGAAGACAATTGCGACGACAGCACCAACAATACTAAGGACAACAACAACAACAACAACAACAACAACAACAATAACATCGGCGTCAACGACACAAACAGCATCAACAACAATAACAACAACAACAACAGCGGCGACGGCGACAACAACAATGACGATGGCAGCAGTGAAGATGATGGCGGTAGCGACGACCGTGGCAACAGTAACAACAACATTAATAATAGCAACGGCGACAATACCAAGGACAACAACAACATCAATCACATCGGTGCCAACGATACCGACAACAATAAGGGCGACGGCGACAACAACAATGACGATGGCGGCAGTGAAGATGATGGCGGTAGTAATGACCATGACAACAGCAACAACAACAATAACAATGACAACAGCAGCAACGACGTCCACAGTGGCAGCAGGATTGAGAGTGGTGTTCGGGCATCTCAGGTCATCATAGCCACGATGGGAGTGATGCCGCAAGTGGACGTGGTGGGGATTGGGGATGACAACAACAACAATAAAGATGATGGCGGCAGTGACGACCACGGCAACAGCGGGGCAGAGCGGATCAGCATGATGGGAGAGAAGATGCATGCTGACGTGGTGGGGAGTGGGGTTGACACAGGTAAGAGGCTTACCAATTCCCCCCGCTTCCCCCCCTTCATCCTTGTTGTCTGGCTCAGGATTGAAGTAGGACAGTCGACATTGACTGGTGTTGCCCGGCCCGCAATATCAATCAACTTCGGATTGCTGATTGCCCTGTGGGAAGGAGGTCGGCTGGTTAGGGATTGTTTGCAGGCGGTCAATCCTTCCCTTGTGCAGGGAAGTAATCAATGCCCCTGCTCTCTTCGGACAATGGGTATAGGGACAGTCCGACATGTTTTTGCATAATGGAAGCTGCACTTGCCGTCTAGATCACACAGATTACATCATTGATAAAGTTCACACACAGCATCCCTTTCTTAGGGTTTCGGGTTATTGTATAAAGGATGCTGGACTCGTCGTCCACATCACACATATTACGTCACTGATACAGATTCCTGCTTAGTCTTGATTCATAAATGATCATTCACAGCACACCATTGTTAGGATTTCGTGTTTAGATGTTGATAGATAGAGAACACATACATCACATACATCACATACATCATATACATCATACATACATCACATCTTGTTAGAGTTTTCAGGATTGTTGTCTATATACAGAGATCAGAATCATCAGATGGATAGGGTTTCTCATCTTCTGACATATATTGCTTGACGTGCATACATTGGTATGGAGCTGTCAGTTCATCTTTGCACAGGGATGCTGGACCCGATTTCCAGCAGATACACTCACATCATTGTACAGGGATGCTGGACCCGTTCTCCAGCAGATACACTTTCATCATTGTACAGGGATGCTGGACCCGATTTCCAGCAGGTGTAGCTCCCCACCAATAGATGGAGCCTTCGACGCCGGGAAAAAAAAAAAAAAAGGGAGTCGCCCTCAATAGCTAGAAGCAGACAGTGGCCTAGTGAGTGTGGTACTTGTGTAGCATGTATGACTGGGGTCATGTAATGCAGGACTTTGTGGTGTCTGTTCTGACTTCCCTTCTAATCCCCCGTACCGCCTGTGAGGAGGTACTCCAGTCTTAATCTGGCTCATATCTGCCCTGTTATGCGGTGACGGATGCGACAGGAGCCAGAAGCCAAAACTTATGAGACGCGTAATAGTAGCCCTTGAGTCGTTTGCATCTTCTCCCACGACCCTACCGGTTGCCCCAGCATAACGTATTTCCAAACGCATGAAGCCCTCCTCAGCTTGGCCATCTCAGCATCGGAAACAGGGATAAAATCTGACCCCCCTAAACCACCGCCCCCCCCAGAACCACCCCCCCTCCGACTCATTGTGAACGAATGACTCGTTCGCACTAGCCTATGCGCTCATGTCGCTCTGTGATGTCGCCCGTCAAGTCGTTGAAGGCCGTCGACGTCGTACTCCCCGCGTCCAAGACCCCCTCCCCACCCCGGGTCCACCGGGTGCCAACGCGGCCGAGAACCGAGGCCCACTCCGGTCCCGTCGCGACCTCGCGGTTGTGAACTCGTCCGCCTCGGTCGCGGCTTTGCCCGCTGCGGTGGGCGACGCGACCGTAGCGGTCAGGATCGCGCCCACGCTGGCCGAGAAGTAATGTCCTGCATGTCGTCCCTGCCTGCAGTGCAAGGATCCGCTCCTGTACAACCTCCAGCAACTCCTCGGGAGTCTCTGATGCCGTGCTCCTCCATGTATGCACGGATGGATGCGTGATGCGGTCATCGAATCTGTAGTCTGTGCCATTCCAAATGTCAACGAGCACGTCGAACTGCGCAACACGACATTTTTTCAACTGGCAGAAGTGCCTCGCGGCCTTCGATTGGTTCCCCTGCCACACGTGGTTGCACAAGTTGCATCGCAACTTGCGGTCACTGATCATCTCCGGGCGTTGTCCTATTTGTTGCTCCCTTCTGAGTCTTGTCCTTACTCTGTAACCTTGTTGAGAGGTCTGCTCCTGAATACTTGCTCCTTGCTGCATGTAGAACTCACGTTCTTCTCCCGTAATTGATGTATCTTACTGTCTTGACTGTCCCTTTCCCTGTCTATTATAGCACATCAGGCTACGATGTGTTTCTCTCGGCCCCTGTACCAGGAGGCACGTAGTTGCCTGGACGTCTTCTGGACTCCTCTGAGATGCCGTTTTTAGTTGAAGTGGACGTCTTATGGATCCCTCTGAGATGCCGCTTTTAGCGGCTGGTGGTGCCGCAGCAGGCTTCCGGAGCACGAGCGCATCAGTGACGAAGGATTATTGACGTGCTAACATCCCCAATAAGAGCCACGTGGACCGCCACTTGGCATTAAGGAGAAGGAGCGATGCATATCCTGGAAGGAGAGGATTTGAAGCGTGTCGGGGCATAGGGCACAGTTGTGACGAGGGAGTGCCATGTGTCATGCAGGTGAAGGATCGTCTGCAAACAGCGTCCTCGGAATAGCCGCCAAGTGCGAGGGCGTCAGAGGGTAGTGACACCCCCGACGATCGACGGGGGCCCGGAAGGGGGAGGATCGACGTGTGCTCTGGTGAGGCACAGGGCGCCGCTGTGACGAGGGAGTCAGCCACGTGTCATCAGGGAGAAAGAGAGTCGCACGTCCCGCGAACAGCACCTTCCAAACAACCGCCTGGTGGACACCCCTTGTCTTCCGATACACTGAGTTCGAGGTGAGTGTAGCAGGGGGAAGGTAGAGAAGGGAGGAAAGGTGGGGGCCGGGGGGGCGCACGATAGGATCGACGTGGGACCCGGAAGGTCCACGTGGCATCAACGAGAAAGATCGACACATATCCTGGAAGGAGAGGGTTTGAAGCGCGCCGGAGCACAGGCCTAAGTTGTCACGAGAGGAGAGGTCAGAGGGAGAATACGCAGAATAAGCAGGGAAAGAAGGGAAGGACTGAGGGAGAGAGGGGGTTGTCGGGCGCAGTGGTGCGACATAGAGAACATAGAAACACAAGAAAGCAAGCAACGACTAGTCGTGAGGAAAAGAGGAGGTGGGGACGAGACAACGGAGAAGCACAAGGAAGTGAACGAGTGGAAAGAGAGTGGAAAGGAAGAGGTCAGAGGGGGAATAAGCAGGAAAAGGAAGGACAAACAGAGGGAGAGAGGGATTTGTCGGGTGTAGTGGTGCGTCTGGGATTGGACCATCGGATCGAGTGTCGAGGGGTCCCACTTAAGGAAGAGCAGGGGGAGGGTTAGCGAGGAAGGGAACAGGCAGGGAGAGAAGCAACGAAGGAAGATGGGGATGGATGGTAATTCGGCTCGTTTGGAGTGAAGTCTGAAAGAAGGAAAAGGGCCATCAGACGAAGGGAGGACGAGCCTAGCTGGAGAAGCAAGAAGGCCAGAGACAAGAGGAACACGTGACGGATCGGGTCGTAGCCAACTGAGAGGAGCGAAAGCAAATACGGTGAAGTTTTCTTCTCTCCACCTCCTCCATCCCCCTGGCCTGGGCACTCGACACTCTTTACCCCCCCCTCGCCATCTGCGCAGAAGGAAGAAAAAACAACAACAAGGGTTAATCAACTCATAAACGGTAAAATCACAAAAATCAGTCAAATAAATTCAGGACAAATTCAAATCATAAAGAACTAAAGAAATTAAAGGATTGCTGGAATAAGCCTGGAGGACAACATAACACAGAGGAAAGATCAGCAACAAGCCAAAACAGTGATTGGTTAATTGATTGATTCCTCTCTCAATCAATCAATCAATCAATCCATCCATCAATCAATCGATTAATGACTGTAAGTGGGTATGAAAGGACACTGTAGATGAGTAGAGTCTGCCCGTATGTGTGCGTGAGTGTTGGCGCAACTCGGCCATAGCGATGGTTATAGGATTGGTCGCATCTTGGTCACCACTCCGTCCTCTCTCTTTCTCTATCTCTATTTATCTCTCCATCTCTCTCTCTCTCTCTCTCTCTCTCTCTCTCTCTCTCTCTCTCTCTCTCTCTCT